CATAACTGATAATCCATCAACTCTGTATCTATAGCAGTGTTCACTACATGGTTCTTGGTGTACACAGCATCTCTTTCTCTCTTTCTTGTCTTCTAGAAAAAGGTCTAAGTCTGTAAACCTATCACTGTTGTGCTGGATCTCCCTCTCCTGAGCTGGACAAGTGCTAGCAGGGCTTATAAAGCAGGCAGGAAATTCTTATGTAGCTGGCCAGGTAAGTGTACTAAGAATTTGCTTTGCATTCTCTCCACTTCTCCAAATAATTTCTATTAGGGCAAGGGAGAAAGTGTAGGAAGCCTTAACACATTGTCTAATACAGCCATTAGCAAAAAAAAAAAAAAAAAAAAAAAAAAAGGTTCAAAATTAAGTTAATACTATTTTATAATAAAAATCTGGGTCTTTTTGCATTCTCAATTTATTTAGAACCCAGAGAGACTGATGAATCTTTAAATGGTACCTGTAAGACCAAAAAATAGCATTATTATGGAACAGAGAAATGTATGAGCGGTTTCCTCTGGCTTGAAAATCAAAGGGTACACAGAGGAAGTAACTTCAAAGAGTTGTGTTCTATCAGAAAAAATGTTTTAGAGCATGTTGAATTATGCAATGAAACAGCAAAAGAATGTAAAAAAGAAAAAAAAAGAAAAATTTACTAAAAACCTGAAGTTGGTTATATAACTAAAATCTTAGAGAATTTTACTTCTGGAAAAGACCTTATTCAAATGGCTGGGTTATATGGAAAAAGTAAAACAAATAGGTCAGAAAAGTGGTTTAAGAACCTGGTAGTGCTAAGATGAGAACTCTATACCAAGAAGGTAACCCCAAAACAAGATACGGAAGTACCAGTGGGGAGTGACTGGAGGCAGGAACCCAGTTAGGAGATTATTCAACCCAAGTAAAACATAGTGAGGCTGCAGAGGAAAGAGAATAAATGAGAGCTATATTATGGAGGCAGAATCAACATAATTTGCTAAATAATTGGATGTGCTGGCAAGAAGGAGTATACCCATTATCATTTTTTCCCCTCCTCTCCATATGGCAAGATCAGGAATTAAGGAAAGATAATAGTCTTAGCTACATACAGAATATTTACTTTTGCAAAGTATCAGTCCTTCAGATGATGGTTTTCTTTTCTAACACAGAAAAAAGTGGATTTATAACATGCATCCAATTTACTTTATTGAATAAATAATTTTAAACATGGGTTAAATACCTTGTTTCAGAAAATGCAAATTTGTTACTACTATAATATGAGAAAAATCAATAAATTCCCAGAAAAATGAATGTTGTCTAGAGAATATAATTAAACAATATCACTGTAAAATAAGTTATGAACATATGATATCCATCTACTTATAATCAGGCAATTTAAAAATAATCTTAGAACAGGCCTCACAGAAATTCTAGAATATAACTGCAATATAAATAGAAAACAAGTGTTTACTGTGTGCCAATACTAAAATACGACACACATTATCTCATTAAATCTTCATAATTTTATAAAGTTGATCCAAATATACTGCTGCATTTTATAGCAAAAGAAGCCAAGTCTAAGAAAGGTCAAGGCTGCTTCAGTTTCATAGCCAATAAGAGTGAGAGAGGCAGAATTTCAACCCGTTTGTTTAATTCTAATGCCACACGTTCTTTAACCACTGAGCATACTGCTTATAACTGAAATCATATTGTAGTTTTTGGTTGAGCCTTCAAAAACTACAATAACAAAATTGTAAATTAACAACTGCAATTTAACAATTCACTGAAAAACAGAAACTACAAATAAACATAACACTGCTAGATGCTGTTAGCTAGAAGAACTTGCACACTAATGGAAATTCACACCAACACTAGGTCAAGTCTGTGTGCATTACCTCCACGCTCTGTCTCACTCTGAGTTACAGTAGCAGGTGTATATAAAACATGCCAGAAAAAGAGTGGTGACCTAAATTTAACTTCCAAAGCTTAGAGCAGACAGAATGGCAGTTATGAGTCACAGGCATCTAATATGTAGATAAAATGTGCTGCCCTCTAGTGATTTCAACACCTCCCATTAACACTGAAGTCTCATAAGTAAAGAAAAACAATTCAAATTTTCATTTCACTTTATGATAAGATAAATAGAATACCTATTGTTTAAGCCAAGAGTAAACTTTTGGTGTGTAAGACCAAATATAGAAATATATCCAATAATGATTATTCACTAATTCAGAATGGTTAAGGAAATACCAGTACAGAACATGTGAAAGATCCATTAGTGAATACAGGGTGGTTACATTTTATGCAAGGGATTTATGTCTTACAATACAATTCAAACCCTGCTTATTTCAAAGCTTTTTTCCTTCGGAAATAAGTGTAAAGACAGGCTGCAATACATACAAGTACTGTACTGTATTTCTTTTTCTTTTTTTTTTCTTTTTTTTTTTTATTCTGTATTTCTTTTTCAAGGATAGCTTTAAAGCATAATAAATGACTATAATAAAATCTGTTTTTAAGAATGCTTTAAAAACAAAGTATTTGTAGTAAGGTAAAGTTCTGTATCACTATCACTTACTTCCAAAATATCAAAAATATTTCCTATTTTAACACAAATGATAGCTTGGTTAGGAGTGCATTAGCGTGGTTGTGATTTTGGAGCCAGGATGCCAGTGATTCTTAATTTAACATTAGGAGTAAAAATAATAGCAAAATAATCACCAAGGCCACGTGCAGAAGTTCCCATGCACGTACTAGTACACAACAGAATGGTTCACAGGATAGTGACAAAGGATGCTCAGTATTTCTGGTTACCAGTTACAGTGGTAGCACCTGGAGTAAACATGGTTTTTAATTCACCAGGCCTACCAGCTTTGAAACAAAGTGATTCTTGATTTTTTTTTTTTTAATTTTGGGTACTAGTATTGTTTAAAATTTTTAGCATTAAGTGCTACTTTGCACTGTTCCAAATTCACAAAAATATGCTTACTTAAAATTAGCTTAACAGAATCATACTCTATTTTTTTTTATTGATTTCAGAGAGGAAGGGAGAGGGAGAGAGAGATACAAACATCAATGATGAGAGAGAATCATTGATCGGCTGCCTCCTGCATGCACCCTACTGAGGATCGAGCCCGCAACCTGGGAATATGCCCTGACTGACCGGGAATCGAACCCGGAACCCTTCAGTCTGCAGGCCGACGCTATATCCACTGAGCTAAACCGGTTAATGCCATACTCTATTTTTAACAGCTTTTTTATTTTTCTGGTAGAAAACTTTACCTTTTTATTTTTGTTTTGTTTTGTTTTTTAATAGCTTTATTGGAATACTAGAGGCCTGGTGCACGAAATTCGTGCATGGGTAGGGTCCCTAGGCCTGCTGGCAATCAGGGCTGATCTGCAGGGCAATCAGAGGGTCAATCAGGGGGCCCCACTGGCACCCGCCTTGGCTGGCCTGGAGCTGCCCAATCACTGGCCCCACCCGCTGCCACTGGTTACCTCCCTCTGCAGGGTGACTGGCAGGGCAATTGGGGGGGGGGGGCAGAGGGAGGGAGGGGAGGCTGCTCCCACCTGCCTTGGCCGGCCTGGGGCCTGCGGGCTGGGGGCAGCTCCTGCATTGAGCATCTGCCCCCTGATGGTCAGTGCCCGTCATAGGCCACAGGCCAACACTACCCACTGAACCAAACCGGCTAGGGCTAAAATATATTTTTATTGATTTCAGAGAGGAAGGGAGGGGGAGACAGAGAAAGAAACATCAATGATGAGAGAATCATCGATTGACTGCCTCCTGCACACCTCACACTGGGTATCAAGCCCAAAATCAGGCATATGCCCCGACCCTGACCCGAGGGGAGTGGGGCTGGAGAGGACATTAATCACCAATTGTCAATGATTTACTCAATGGAGCCTACACAGTGAAGCCTCCAGAATGCTCACTACAGAGCTCAGAGAGCTTCCAGGTTGGTGAACACATCCAGGTGTCTGGAGGGATGAAACTCTGCCCATTCCCCTATGCCTGTACAAATGAAATCTCTTACCTAAATTCAAAATTCACAGACATGCAAACAATTCAAAATGCAGCCACTTTCAGTACTTCACCTTCAGAAATAAATGTTGAAAAACTTAATACTCCTTAACTGTTTTTTTGTTTTGTTTTTTACTAGAATACAACAATCCTCCTCAATAAAAACTCAAATTATTTTTAACAAAAAGAGACATAATTTTGTCTTATTTCATTTTTTGGAGCATTTACAGAAATTCAGGAAGCAACTTGAATAATTCTTTCTTTGGAAGACTTAAGTCTCTTAAAAAAACACAAAAAGAAGTCTCTTCAACGTTCTTTTCTCTTTAAAATAGGAAACAAAGGCAATGGTATATAATAATATATGTATTGATTACTTACATCAAAATCTAGCCTGCAATTAAAACGAAGTCCAAGAAATATAATTACTTAAAATATTTTCAATGTGTGCAATGATTGACATGCACATTTCTGGGGTATCTATGTCCCATTTTTATATTATTGTTTATTTTATCCCTCTCTCTAGCACTTTAACTGGGATTCTTTCACTTAGAATATACCAGATAATTTTAAAATAATGTCACAATCCTTCCTACTACAAGTACTTGAATTTAAACCTTTTTTAAAAAAATTGATTTTAGAGAGGAAGGAAGGGGGAGAGGGAGAGAGCAAGAAAAACATCAATCTGTTGCCTCCCATACACAACCTCACCGGGAATTGAACCCACAACCTGCGTATGTGCCCTGACTGGGAATGGAACTCGAGACCTTCCAGTGCATGGAACAACATTCCAACCAACTGAGCCACACCAGCTAAGACTTGACTTTGTATCTTAAAGCCATTAAGTTTACTTGAAAAATAAAACTGAAAGAAAAAACAATATGATAGGACATTTTTGCTCTTTGCTATTTCATAAAAAATAAGTAACCATAGTAATATAGTTAAATGATTACAAGAATATAAAAAATAAAACCACATATTTAATAAAAACCATGTAAAATATCCATCTTACCAAAATCATTAGCAAGAGAATTAGGATCAGATGCCCCCAGCGTAGCTTCAAACTCCTCTTGGAGACGATATGCTCTTTGCAGCAGAGATTCAAGCTTATGGATAAATTCAGTGCTAATAATATCCTAGAAAGAGAGAAAAAGGAACACAGCAAAATTATATTTTAATGTTGAACTCAGAAACATTTTCCACTTTTAAATGAAAGGCACGGAAGTGTGGGATATAAAAAACTACTGTTGGGTGGTGAGAATACTGTGATAGAAGTCAGGAGGCCTGGGTTCTAGCTGTGCCTCTGGCTAAATCATCTCAGTTCTCAGAGATTCAGTGTCTTTGTGAAATTGTGTTGGACTAAATCACCGATTCTCAAAATAAGGTTCCTGGACCAGCAGCATCAACATTATCTGGGAACTTGTTAGAAATGCAAATTCTCGGGAAATTCTCGGGACCTACCTCAGCCCCACTGAATTAAAACCCTGGTCCTGGCTGGTGTGGCTCTGTGGTTGAGCATTGACCCATCACAGTTCAACTCTAGTCAGGGCACATCCCTGGGTTATGGGTTCAATCCCCAATAGGGGGCGTGCAGGAGGCAACTGATCAATGATTCTCTCTCATCACTGATGTTTCTATCCCTCTCCCTTCCTCACTCCGAAATTAATAAAAAACATTTAAAAAAAATTTTTTAAACCCTAGGGGTGGGGTTCTCAAATCTGTGTTTTCACAAATCTTTCAGATGATTCTGATGCATGCCCAAATTTGAGAATCACTAGCCTAGATGATCAGTAAGTACCAGTCCAGCTCTAACTCAATGTGAGTTCTATGAATATAATGGAACTTAACTAAATCCAAAGTGCAAAACAGACATTTACAAATTCCTTTAGAAATCATATCTGCTTTAATTCTATACATTCTTAGAAAATCAGGAAACTTGATGATAATTTTCAAATTTGGAATTTAACAAGTAACTGAACAGAAAAAGCCCAATAAGAAATAGTCCCAAATAATCCTAGGGGAGAAAATAAGCAGTTCTATTATTAAATGCCATAGAAAGCAAGTGCACTCAATCAACAATAAAAATAGTTTGATTCCTCCAATACTATGAAGACCACTCTCAGATAAATCACCCTTAACTTACATCTACACTTTCTTCAGCAATGGCATCTCCTGCACCCAATTTAATGGAGCTACAGGCTTCATCTTCAGCCTGTCTATTTCGAAAGGTTAGAGCTTGTTCCCATCGACGCAATGCCTCTTCAAATAATTCCATACCTAAAAATTAACAACAGAACAATTGTAAGTAAGCAAAACCAATGCCAAAATAAATCATCTGGGATCTCAAGTGTTTTTGATATTGTTATCATCAATGGCAAACATTCTGACAGTAATTTCGGCACTAAAGAATAATTTTATGCTCACATCATTTCATAGTATAATCTTAATTTCCCAATGTATTCCAGTAGTTCCAGTCAACCAAAAATAAGAGAGAAATGACATTTAAAAATGTAACTCAAATGTATATGGTGCTTAGGATTTTTCTAGAATAATATCTTGAATTCATCCAAAGTCCAACAATGGCAAATTTTTATAGTCACACAACTATCTTTCAAAATAACCCCTAAGTTAAAATGAAAACTGATAAATAAGTAAAAGAAACTATTTATAAGAAGCTATCAGGTGATCCATAGGGCTCTTATCAATCCTGATTCTATGATACTCAGACTCCTACCCGCTTCTCAAGTTTTGCTCTATTTCTTTTCAATATTCCAAGAGAAGCTGTGAGGTAGTTTTACTAGACATAGAGTTATCTAGAAGCATAGTGAGCTTAATGCTCTGAAGACCTTTGGAAAAGGTGGCAAAAGAACTACTCTTACACCTTTCCCCACAGGCAGGAGTACCTACTGTGATACTACTGGAGATGATCAGAGTGCACTCAGAGGCACACAGTCCTGACAAGTCACCATCCCCTTTACTGCTCATTGCCTGGGAGCTAGCTACATCAAGGGTTTTGGGTTTTTTTTTTATTATTATTAATTAATATGAATTTCCTTTCATCAAAAGGAATATAGCCTGAAATAGAGTAGAGAAAAAGTGAAAAGCATTCTCTGGTTCTCTTTCTGAGATCCAGTGAGACTTTCTAGACATGCTCGTGATCAAGCCAAGAGATGTAAAACACAGGCCTCTTTCTATCTAAAATCTTCTCTGGATAGAAGAAAACCAATGATAGCTAGGTACAAAGGTAAATGAAGAGAAAGGCAGGAAGTTAAATCAGGAGGCCACAAGCCAGAAGCCACTAACAGCGGTTCTCAACCTGTGGGTCGCGACCCCTGAAAATACATCCTGTATATCAGATATTTACATTACGATTCATAACAGTAGCAAAATTAGTTATGAAGTAGCAACGAAAATAATTTTATGGTTGGGGGTCACCACAACATGAGGAGCTGTATTAAAGGGTTGCGGCATTAGGAAGGTTGAGAACCACTGCGAAACTAGAAGAGACAAGAAACAGATTCTCTCCTAAGCCTCCAGAGGGAGCATGGCCCTACTGACACCTTGATTTCAGCCCAATGATAAAGATTTCAGACTTCTCGCCTCAAGGACTCTGAAATAATAAATTTCTGCTGTTATAAGCCACCAACTGGTAATTTGTTACAGCACCCTCAGGAAACTAATACAATAGATTGTGTTATATACACTAGATTCAGTAGATATAAGAACATTTTAAAATTATAGTTGCTTCCCTTAGAAAGAAGTTCTTTAGTTTCATATTAAATAAGTATATCTTAAAACTTTATTGTGTTATTCCTACCCATCAAGTATAAGTTCTCAGGAGTAGTCACAGGAATGTTAACAAGTTTAATATCATCTTCATCTGTTTTGTCCCAGGAATTAGAATTGCCACAAGCACAGCTATGACAAGAATTGACACTCTGGACCTAAAATTAAGATGGACAAAAGTTACTTCAAAATCTCTTTTTTAATAGTATTTTGTAACTTTTTTATATTTATAAATTATTTATATAAATCCTATTTCTGGCAAAACAATCCATATTATTTCTACTTGAAGAAATAAATCTGATTATATTTAATCAAATTTCGGAGTTATTAAGACCCTAAAAATTCTGAGTCTTTATTTGTTCAAAAATACACAAGTAGAACAATATTTTTAACATAAATCAGTTATTTTCACCAAAAATCAAGCAGTTTTTTATAGTTCATTGGCTTATTAAGTATTTACTTATAAATTTTATCCACACCTACTTTGATTTGAGGCAACAAGCATTTATTAGAGATCCATAAAAATAGCTACTCAGGCAGCACTGATTCAGGCAGAAGTCCTCTAAGTGTTCTGAGTAGGAAAGAAAGGCAAGGGGTATTTATGAGGGAGAAAAGGGGGCCAACTACTCAATGAAGGAAGGCATTTCTGTAAGTGCAGATAAACTAAAATAGTGATGCTAATTCTAAACCATGTTTTTCATTTTCCATCTGGCAGTCATAATATTTCTGATTTTTTGTTATCTTTTGCAGTTTTTGGGGTAAAATGCTACTTTAGGCCTAGTAAAAAAGTTATTTTACCCTGGTTTTACATTCCAAAGATTTGAGGTACAATAAGACTTGCACGGCAGTTTCTCTGGGATAGCAATTCTGACTCCATTTTAAAGTGCCTCTGTTTATATAATTTTTTTACAATAGCTTATTTTCCATTTAAAATTTATCACAATGCTCATTCACTAATTGATAACTAAAATTAAAAAGTCTCTACCCGCTTCCCTTCTCTAACAAGTTTCACTGAGCCAATAATTTCAGTCACCTCTGTACAGATAACTTCCAAATCTATAACTCCAAATCTGTCCTCTTTTGAGAAATCTAAACCCACATTTCCATCTGCCTATCTGGTGACTCCACCCGGCTCTTCTGCTGGCATCTCAAACATTATATCAAAAAAGTACAACAAACCCTGACAGGTTTGGCTCAGTGGATGGAGCATCGGCCTGCGGACTCAAGGGTCCCAGGTTCAAGTCTGGTCAAGGGCATATACCTTGGTTGCGGGCACGTCCCCAGTGGGGAGTGTGCAGGAGGCAGCTGATCGATGTTTCTCTCTCATCAATGTTTCTAACTCTCTATCCCTCTCCCTTCCTCTCTGTAAAATAATCAATAAAATATATATTTTTTAAAAGTACAACAAAAACTCCTCTTCCTCCTAAATTTACTAGTAGTACGAACTTCCATCCCCATAATTTCTCAAATAGAAAACAAAAAGTCATCTTTAACCTCTCCCCCCACCCCCACCCCCCACCTCTCATATTCAGTTACCAAGTTTTGTAGGCCCTATCCCCTCCATCCTGCTCCCATTGTCATGACCCTGATTTAGGCATTCTTTAAAGGGCAGAAATCTGGGTTCACAGAGCTGGTAGGGGCCTCCCTAGGTCACTGAGGCAAGTATAGTCAAGTGATTCTAAAGTCTTGTTATTCACAGTATTATCATGAGATTCCCTTTTTCTAACTACTTGTCAAGAACAGCTTCAACTTCCAGTAGAGAAAATTCAAAACAGAGGCACTTCTCTGACACAGAAGTCCAAATTATAGCATGGCCATATATGTACTTCATTATCCTGCTCAATTTCACAGATGAACTGAAAGTTTGCAGGCCTTTGATCTAGTTGTTCCTGCCATAGAATAGCCTTTAAAAATTTGTTATATTTAAGAATAGGGCAGATAAAATAAAATGGATTAAAAATGGCTGCACAGACATGCTCCCAGGAACAGGCTAGAATTACAACTGAAATATGGAAAGGCTTCCTGAATAATCAATGGAAAACTCACAGGAGAGAATCCTGACACCCAAGGATCGAAGGTGGAGATCGCATAGAGACTGGTAGGAGGGGTGGAGGCACAAAAGGGCTGGCTGAGCACCCACAGACGGCAACTGAAGTCCTGGAGAGATATCTCCGCTGTGGGAGGGTGACAGTGACACTGAGAACTCTGGGATCTAACCCCGAAGCTGGACTCCCCAGCAGAGAGCACCAAACTGAGGAAGGTATCCACATAACATCAAGCTGTGGAAAGCAGTGGGGTGCTGTCTGCCAGGGAGTGGCAGCTGAAAGTTCGGGCACCCTCTTAAAGGGGCAATGCACAAAAATTCCCTGTGGAGCCACCCACCTTGTGCTCCCGCAGAGGGAGGGTGAAGTGGACTGAAGCTGTAAGAGCAGAAGCCAGGATTGGGGACTCGGGGATAGAGATCAGAAAGCAGACACCCTAAGTTTCCTGGGCTGAGTCATTCCCTCACACAGTAGAGGACATCTTTCCCACATAGACATTTGCCTTGCCTGGGGGGAAGACAGTCTACACACCCTATTGGAAAATACCTTGCCCTGAGGCCACTTAAGAGATTTAAAGTAACAATTAGCCTCCAGGCAGAAGCAACTGCCCCACCCTGTTGAAAAAACTCGCCACACTTGAGGACAATTGCCTGGGAGCAATTCAAGTGGGAATCCTATTAGTCTGTAGACAGAGGTGGTCTCTGGAGGCTTTGAGTCTTTGACTGATCCAATTAGAAACAGCCTTTAACACTGTCCTGCACCAGAGATTGAGAGGTGAAGAGGATCTACCTAAAACATAGTCACAAACCCAAACAGACAACCAAAATGAGGAAACAAAGAAACAATCTCCAAATGAAAGAACTAGGGAATTCTCCAGAAGAAGAGACAAATGAAGCAAAGATAAGAAATTTATCTGAAACAGAGTTCATAATAATGATGTTTAAAATGCTCAACAGTATGAAAAAGGATATAGTAACTCTGAAAAAAGAACAGTCAGAGATAAAGAATGACATAACACAAATAAAGAACACATTGGAAGGAATACACAGCAGATTAGGGGAAGCTGAGGATCGAACCAGTGAATTAGAAGACAGAGTTGAAAATAACACTCAATTAGAGAACCAAAAAGAAAAACAATTTAAAAACAAGAGGACAGCTTAAAGGAGCTGTGGGACAATGTGAAACATAACAATATTAGAATACTAGGTGTGCAGAAGAGGCAGAAAGGGAGAAAGGAATAGAGAAGGTGTTTGAAGAAATAATGGTAGAAAACTTCCCTAACCTGGTAAAGGAAAAAGTAACAAGTTCAGGAGGCAGAGAAAACCCCAAACAAGAAGAACCCAAACAGACCCACGCCCAGACACATCATAATTAAAATGCCAAAAATTAAAGACAAAGAGAGAATCTTAAAGGCAGCAAGAGAAAAGAAAACTGTTACCTACAAAGGAGCTCCCATAAGGCTGACACCTGATTTCTCATCAGAAACTCCACAGGCCAGAAGGGGATGGCATGAATTACTCAAGGTAACAGAAAGCAAGGATCTGAGACCAAGATTACTCTATCCAGCAAGGCTATCATTCAAAATAGATGGTCAAATAAAGAGCTTCCCAAACAACAACAAAAAAAGGCTAAAGGAGTTCATCACCACTAAGCCAGCATTATAAGAAATGCTAAAGGGATTGCTGTAAGGGATTGCTGAGAAGAAGAAACAGAGAGAGAAACCTAGCCATACAGAATTAAAATGGCTATAAATAAGTACCTCTCAATAATAGCCCTAAGTGTAAATGGATTAAGTGCTCCAACCAAAAGATGTAGGGTAGCTGAATGGATACAAAAACATGACCCAACTATATTCTGTCTACAAGAGATCCACCTCAAAACAAAAGACACACACAGGATGAAAGTGAAGGGATGGAAAAAAAATTTCCATGCAAATGGAAAAGAAAAAAAAGCTGGAGTAGCAATACTCATATCCAACAAAATAGACTTTAAAAGCATCATGCTAAGCGAAAGAAGCAAGTCAGAGAAAGATAAATATCATATGATCTCACTCATTTGTGGAAAATAATGAACAACATAAACTGATGAACAAAAATAGAGCCAGAGGGGGAAAAATATTCTAGAATATAATAAAAGTAATCCTGTTATTTGCAGATATTTAATATTTTCTACAACTTTTGTGATATCATACTATGTTAGTACAGTTTTGGTAATATTATTATACTTAAAATCCTTTTATCCTTGAAATATTTTTTATTGCATGTAATATTACATGTAAGGTCATTTTTCTTGAATAATTGGTGTTTATTGCACGTAACATTATCATATTTAAAATCATTTCTTTTGAGATATTGATGTTTATTACATGTAACATTATTATATTTAAAATCGTTTTTCTTGAAATAAAAAAAAAAAACTGAAAAAAAAAATACCTTGGAAAAAAAAGAATGGGGCAGCTATATATTCTAACAAAATATAGAATATACAGAACAAAATATTGTGTACTGTAAGTTATTTTTTTAATGAATACACATGAGCCCAGCTGGTGTGGCTGTTGGTTGAGCGTCATTCTATGCACCAGGAGGTGTCACAGGTTTGATTCCCCATCAGGGCACATGCCAGAGTTGACGGCTCTATCCCTAGTAAGGAGCATGCAAGAGACAGCCAATCGATGTTTCTCTCTCTCTCTCTCTCTCTCTCTCTCTCTCCCTTCCACTCTCTGAAATCAATACAAAAAATAAAAAATAAATGAATATATATGATGGTAGAGGCATGCATTCCCTGAAAGATTATACATAAGAAAATGTCAGCTTGTCTCAAGGGGGGAAATTGAGGATCAGGAACACATCTTTCACTGTACATTTCTTGCTTCTTTATTTAACAAATGCATATACTACCTATTTTTAAAAATAATTTTAAACTATATTAGAGTTAAACAAACAGTAACTTCATTCCTCACTTGTTAATCAATCCTATATAATAAAAGGCTAATATGCAAATTGACCAAACAGACCGACCAGTCACTATGATGTGTATTGACCACCAGGGGGCAGACACTCAACACAGGAGCTGACCCCTGGTGGTCAGTGTGCTTCCACACGGCTCACAGCTGGCTAGCGCAGCGGTGGTGACGGGAACCTCTCCCACCTCCGCGGCAGCACTAAGGATGTCTGACTGCCGGCTTAGGCCTGCTGCCTTTGGGGAGCAGGCCTAAGCCGTCAGTCAGACATCCCCTGAAGGCTTCCGGACTGCAAGAGGGCACAGGTCAGGCTGAGGGACACCCCCCAGTGCACGAATTTCATGCACTGGGCCTCTACTTCTATAATAATACTCGGAAGACAGAGGTGAGGAACTCCATACTTGGCTACAGCGAATCAAACATTTTTACCTAAGCAGGCTCATCAAGTGAGTTTTGTGACCTAGTACAAAGTCTGGATGCATCTTCCAGCTTTTTGCAGAACATGTAGCTTTGAAGCAACATTTCCATATCACCACCATTTTTATAGGACCCCATGGGACCACATCACTTACTCAAAAAACCTGGAAGCAAACTGGCTAAATATTTAGCAAAAGGATAATTTCATTTGCCTGAAGAAAACAGGCTCAATCAGATTTTTTTAAGGTTCTTTCCATATTAAGAACTACTGTAATTGTATAACATTTAAACCAATAGATAATCTTAAAATAATAATTAATTTTCTTCTTTACTTACAGAGGCCAAACTCTGTGCAGAACCTGAGTATTTACTGAAAAGTCCTCCATTAGCATAGTTACAAGACTGAGATCCTTTGTCTTTGACAGAACTTAAAGATAATGTCAAATTCTGTCTACTACTGGAACAACTTGAACCTACCAAACAAACATAAATATTAAAAGTATCATAAGTAAGTCCAATGATAAATTTCAGGTAAAATTTCAAAGTTTATGTTATATTAATTCACAAAGCTGATCTTAAAACATATTTCACTCAATTGTATAAATATTAAATGTACACCATTATTAAAACCTACATCTTTATACAATGTTTTTAATATTGCTAAAATATGATTCTTAAATGAAGAATAAAACATTCATCTAATTAATTAGGGTGGTATTTGATGATCTAATGTAATTAATATAAAAATATTGAAAACTCTGAACCTCCCCTGGCCGGGTGACTCAGCTGGTTGAGCATCTACTCATGAACCAGGAGGTCACGGTTAGATTCCTAATCAGGGCACATGCCTGGGTTGTGGGCTTGATTCCCCAGTAGGGGGTGTGCAGGAGGCAGCCAATCAATGATTCTCTCTCATCACTGATGTTTCTCTCTCTCTCTCCCTCTTCCTTCCTTTCTGAAACCAATAAAAAAAAATTGTTTTTTTTTAATCAATAAAGCCCTAACCGATGTGGCTCAGGGGATGGAGTGTTGGCCTGCGGACTGGAGGGTCCCAGGTTCGATTCGGGTCAAGGGCATATGTCCGGGTTGCAAGCTCGATCCCTAATGGGGGGCATGCAAGAGGCAGCCAATCCATGATTCTCTCTCAGCATTGATGTTTCTATCTCTCTCTCTCCCCTTTCCTCTCTGAAATAAAAAATATATATTAAAAAAATCAATAAAAACATATCCTGGGGTGAGGATTTTTTTAAAAATACAACTATGAACCTTTAAATTATAAATTTAACAATATAAGCATTTCCCTTCCTGAATTACACATAAACCTTATCCATATCACATTACACTGTGATTATTTTTTTTTATACAGCTGATGCCCTTAACCATCTATCCATTCGTTTAGGGAAGATATTATGCCTTAGATTATCTTAATGCAGTACCTCAGATACTCTTCTATTCAAATGCTGGCATTTATTAGTTATATGAACTTAAGCAAGTCATTTACCATATCTCAATTTTCTTTATGTGTAAAATTGGAACAATAACATAAATTATAGTCCAAATTCATAAGATTTCTATAAAGATTAACACGGTGAATATATAGCATTTAGCACTGTACCTGAAATCTAATAAAATCTTAGTAAGAGCCATCATTATTGTTGTAATGTTCACTGGACTTGGTACAAAATAGTCATTTGTTAATTATTTGCTGTGCAAATGAATCACAAAAGCATATGATACACTAAATCATAAACCTAAAAATAATTTAAAAATTAAGAAAATAAGAAATCCAGCATGCTTGAGAAATTATTTTCATTGACACAATTTAATAATATGTACTATATCACTAACAGAAACTACATATCCTTTAAAGGTATTCTAATACTAGAACTTTATATACTAAGGAAATAGTCAGCAAGTGTATACATAGCAAGAAAAACATCCTAAAGTGAATAATGGGGCACTGGTTAAATAAATAAGGGTTTATTTATACAAATTTAACACAGTACATATTAAAAGTGAGAGCACATATGTGAATTATTTTTTATAATACTGAAAATTAATAAGTAAATAAAAATTTAAATTATGGCACAGATATATATTTATTGACCTGGAAGGACATTCTTACATACTGTTAAATATTTTAAGATCATACTACAAAAGGTATGATCTGAATTTTACCTAAAATATATAAATCATCCCTGACTGATTTGGCTCAGTGGATAGAGCATCGGCCTGAGGACTGAAGGGTCCCAGTTCAATTCCAGTCAAGGGCACATGCCCGGGTTGACTGACGGCTCAATCCCCAGCAGGGGGTGTGCAGGAGGCAGCTAATCAATAATACTCTTTCATCATTGATGTTTCTATCTCTCTCTCCCTCTCCCTTCCTCTCTGAAATCAATAAAAATATAAATAAAAAAATATATAAATCATTTTCTTGTACATAATACAGTAACGCACCCCCACCCCCCCACCTTATCTGTCAGGAATACATTACAAGATGCACAGTGGATGCCTTAAAACACAAATAGTACTGAACTATATATATAGATATATGTATACACACTGTTTTTTCCTATACATACATACTTCATGGTTTCCCTTTGGCACATGCAAATTGTCAAACCATTACTCTTGTGCTTTGGGGTGATTATTAAGTAAAATAAGGGTTACTTGAACACAAGCACTCTGATACCGTGACAGTCAATGTGATAAGTGAAATGGCTACCAGGTGATTAAAAGGTGGGTAGCATATATAGCGTGGATGTGGAGGACAAATGGATGATTCTGTCCCAGGCCAGATGAAGCAGGACAGCGTACAATTTCATCACACTACTCAGATCGGCACACAATTTAAAACTTATGAATTATTTATTTCTGGAACTTTCCATTTAATATTTTCTGATGGTTGACTGCAGGTAACTGAAACTATAGTAAGCAAAACCATGGATAGGGGAGACTACTGTATAAAATTTTATGTCTCAATATTATCTTTATTTGCTTTTTGGGGTTTTTTTTTCCCTCAATATGATATTTAAAAGGAAATATAAATGGACAGACATATGCCAAAATATTATCAGTAGTTATTTCCAGGGGAGCAAAGTTTCCAATAGTTTTAATTTCTTCTATTTGCTCATCTGTATTTCCTAATTTGTCTAAAATTAATCTGCATTACTTGTGAGTTAAATATTAAGGAAGGAAATTTTGGAGACTAAACCACTGAAATCATTGCATTCAATTATGATTTACATATAACATTTCTTTTGTAGACTTAATTTAGCTATTTCTACACACCTTTTTCTGACGCTGCTCTTTTAGTGTATTCAAGTATGAGGTGCTCTGGTTCCCATGGTAATATTTTTCCTTTCTTCTTCCCACGTCTTCTTTTAAAGTGATGGGCCAGAAAAATTACAGATACGGCAGTCACTGCAGTTACCACAATCAACTTTTTAGCTACTGGTGAAAACCTGATCTGGAAAAGATGCAGTTAGGTTGAGAAAAACATCTTTTATTTGTTCACTTAAAATAAAGACATAAAAACTAAAATTATTCTTAAACTAATCTAGTATTAAATACTACCCAGGTAATATTTATTCATTCAATGCAGCTAGCTCAATTTGAATTTTAGAACCAACCCTCCCACCAAAAAAAACAAAATGTAGTAATTTTTTACCCACTGCTCTGAAGTTCTCAGGTAAGTAACATTACCCAAGGAATCAAGAGGAGTATAACATTATACATCCTCATTAATATTTGTTGAACAACTAAGGATTAATTCTGCAACTGAATTTTCTGCCTGAATGATAGCAAGATTTTTCATTATTGGAATGATTAAATCAAACCTTCTCAATGAACCAATTTTTTTAACCATCTAGAAATTTAGACAAACATACATTAACTCAATTTCTAAAAGCATCTGAATAAGCCATTTTATTTGTGAATTAATCAACAAATTCTCAGCATCTTACAATGTACTAGCACTGTGCTATAAAAATTAAAATAAAATCTAATTGTACTAATTATATTCCATAAACATTTAGGGAATGCCTTCCATTGATCAGGAAGCACTGGGAATACAGAAAATACAAATCTTGCCCTGGCTGGCACGGTTCAGTGGTTGAGCATCAACCTATGAACCAGGAGGTCACCGTTCGATTCTTGATTCCTGGTCAGGGCACATGCCCAGATTGCAGGCTCCATCTCCAGTAGGGAGTGTGCAGGAGGCAGCCAGTCAATGATCCTCTCTCATCATTGATGTTTCTATTTCTCTCTCCCTCTCCCTTCCTCCAATAAAAATATATTTTAAAAAACACAAAAGAGCCCTAGCCGGCTTAGCTCGGGGGGTAGAGCATCGGCCTGTAGAATAAAGGGTCTTGGGTTTGATTCTGGTCAGGGGCATATGCCTGGGTTGCAGGCTCAATCCCCAGTGCGGGGCGTGTGGGAGGCAGCTGATCAATGATTCTCTCTCATCATTGATGTTTCTATCTCTCTCTCCCTCTCCCTTCCTCTCTGAAATTAATAAAAAAATATATTTTTTAAAAAGAATATCCTACTCCTAAAGTAAAAAACAACAAAACTTAAAAAAAAGGGGGGGAGGGGAACTAGTACCTTTCCACTGCCTCCCATGCAGCAAACGCTGGGGCTCTTGTAGTGAGAACCTTTCTTTAAGTATACGACGCCAGTTTATAATTTCTTCAGTAAATGTGATAATTAGTGGTGTCTTGTTTCATATGTGGAACAAGGAGGTTGTTGTGGTTCATGCATTTATTATGAATAGTATGAATGTAGTAGTTATTCGACTATAGATCAGGGGTCCTCAAACTATGGCCCGCGGGCCACATGCAAATACAAGTATTGTATTTGTTCCCGTTTTGTTTTTTTACTTCAAAATAAGATATGTGCAGTATGCATAGGAATTTGTTCATAGTTTTTTTTTTTAAACTATAGTCCGGCCCTCCAACGGTCTGAAGGACAGTGAACTGGCCCCCTGTTTAAAAAGTTTGAGGACCCCTGCTATAGATAAATAAATAGGTTTAATAATGTTATGGTTGGATTATAAATTAAGATAGAAATTATTTATCCTATATGAGCAACAGATGAATAAGCCATAATTTTACATAATTGCATTTGATTTAATCCTCCTCAACTTCCAATTGCAATTGATAATAAGGATATAATTAGGAGGTTTAGATTAATAGGTGAAATTGTGTATAAGACGGATAAGGGGGCTAGTTTTTGTCATGTTAGTAGAATCAGTCCTGATGATAGTGGAACACCTTTAGAGAGGGAAGGGGAAGGAGAGAGAGATAGAAACATCAATGATGAGAGAGAATGATTGGTCGGCTGTCTCCTGCATACCCTACACTGGGAATCAAGCTCGCAACCAGGGCATGTGCCCCGACTGGGAATCGAACCATGACCTCCTGGTTCATAGGTCAACACTCACCCACTGAGCCATGCTGGCTGGGAGTAAAATCTAAATTCTATTTATATGTTTATGTATTATTTTTACATAAAATTCCCATTAAAGTTTACAGTCCTAATCTCACGAAAAAAGGAAACCTTTCCATGACAAAAAATAAGGCAAATTTCCCAGAGAAAGATGTTTATCCTAAGTAATCTAGACAACACAAGGTTTGAAAGTCTCTAATATTACTCCTGCCTATCACTTTTCATTTGTTACTTCCACCCCCTCCCCCCAGGAAAGTCAAATACTTGTATACCATTGCCTGGAACACTGGAACTACAGCATCTCATTTTCTTACCTCCAGACAAAATGAAAACTAGACATGTGTCCTATTCATTCAACATGCATTGAACATCAACTTATGGGCCACACGCTGAGAATAAAAAGAAAGGAATAAGACCCTGTTCCTTGTGCTCATATTGCACAATCCTCCCAGCTCCATAACCTGATGCCACTGTTTAATGGTCTTGCCAAGTTTTCCTCCCTCATCCAATGTTCTCTGGAAACAGAATAGTTATTTGGTTACATTCAAGTCTTCTGCTCCAATAACGTTGTTTCACTTTACACAGCATAAACTTCTCACTAGAATTAAATTGATGTATTCCTTTAAGTCCAACGCAGTACTTACCACACACCTTTTCTTTCTTCCTTTTTTGTTTGTTTGTTTGTTTGTTTGTTTGTGGAAGGGTTCTAAGCTAACTCTTAGTTAATGCAGGGACTACATCTAGATCTTGCTCAACACTTTGGAGCTTGACTGAAACACAGTAATGCTTAACACATTTATTTTGAATAAATCTGACAACTGGAACATACCACAAGTCACATGCTAACTGCAAACTCTGGAAAATGGGGATATTAATATCTTCCTCATACAGTTGTTACAAAAGGAGATGACATATATAAAGTAGTATCTCACACAAGCAGCATTCAAAAAATGTGAGCTCTTAATATTTTAGTGTAACAAACATCTTATTTTGGAATAACTTTACATTTACAGAAAAGTTGCAAAGATAGTAGAGAAAGTTCCCACATCACCAGATTTTCTCTGATATTAATATCTTACATAACCATAGTACTCTTGTCAAAACTAAAAAATTAACATTAGCACATTATTATTAACTATAGACCTTGCCCTGGCCAGGTAGCTCAGTTGGTTAGAGTGTCGTCCTGATATAACAAGGATTCCAGTTCAGTCCCCAATCAGGGCACATACAAGAAGCAACCAATGAATGCATGGATGGGTGGAGCAGCGAATCAATCTCTCTCTCTCTCTCTCTCTCTCTCTCTCTCTCTCTCTCTCTCTCATCAATTTAAAAAAAAAAAAGAGCTATAGCCCTATTCTACTTTCACCAGTTTTCCCACTATTGTTCTTTTCTATTCCAGGACCAATTCAGAATACCACAGTGCATTTAGACAGATTTTTATTTTTAAGTGTTTAGTTAATTCCTAGTCTCTCTCACTCCACTCTGATTTTGGAAAATCAACTAAACTACTTACCCTTTTCCAACTGAAAAACAGAGTTTGTTTGTATTAACATGATACATTGTAATATACCAAAATGACCCTTAAGAAAACTGCAGAAGCTAAAGAGACTTAAGTATTTTGTTTAGAGTATGTATTCATTAAATGATAGAAAAATACTTGGAAAATGTATTATTCCTTAAATAAATAAAACAGGGAAATAAAATAGGAGTGAATATTTATTGGGATGTTCACTCATCTTTACTATGTGCTGGACACTGGTTTCATTCCTTTTGTAGATAAAAATTGGCTTTAAAGAGGTTAAGTAACTTGCCAAAGTTACTCAATCACACAGTTCCAGTGTTGGAACATGAATCAAAAAGACAAGATGTGTTTAAATCCATGCAGGTTATGTATCATGTGTTGAAATAACTTCAGTCACAATGACATATCTCACTATTACTATGTTATATTATAAAATTATACTACATTATTATAATCTATATATATAAAAGGCTAATATGCTAAGTGTCTGACCGTTTGACCATTTGACTGGTACATATGACACACTGACCACCAGGGGGGCATGGAAACAAGCATGGAAACATGGAAAAGACTGATGAATCTCAGAGGGAAGGAGGGAGGGAGAAGGGTGGGAAGAGATTAACCAAAGATCTTATATGCATGGGTTTCGGCCCGATCCCCGCAGGCCAGGCCGAGGGACCCCACCAGTGCACGAATCCAGGCACCGGGCCTCTAGTTAATTATATAACTGAATCACATTCAACATGGATTGTCAATTTTTGGAGGCTGAACTAATGAACACAAAAATTTCTTTTTTTCATAAATAGTCCAATTCTAATACTACTGAACTGTCCAACAAGACTGACCTTTTTTCCTGGCCCTTTCTTGGTATTCAAATTATAGTCTGCTCTCTTAATACAGGGATCAACAAACTTTTTTGGTAAATGTCAGGTAGTAAATATTTTAGGCTTGTGGAACATTCGATCTCTACTGCAACTACTTAACTCTGCTGTTAATGCAAAAGCAATCACAGATAAAACATTAACAAATGAGCATGGCTGTGTACCAATAAAACTTTACTAAGTACCGTGACTGAGAGTAAAGAATATATCTGCAATAATTCTTTACATTATTTTTTTTAAATATCCCATGGAACAAGTTGGACAATAGTCCTAGCCTCATAAATGTATTTCCAGGATTGAAAAGCAGGTGGTATAATAAAACCAGTATGGCAAAGGATACAAAAATATTTCATAAAAAAGAAATATAAAATGCTAATAAAGTTTTTTTTAATTTCTAGGCTGCAAATAAATAGGCATTGTCAACTATTACTAACTAGTGAGATTATGGATTGGTATAGCCAATCTGGGAATTTACCAATGTTAAAAATAAATAAATAAAACTTCACCCTGACCAGTGTAGCTCAGTTGGTTGGGCATCATCCCATGTACAGAAAGGTTGCTGGTTCAATTCCCAGTTGGGCCTCATGCGGGGTTGCGGGCTCAAATGCAAGTGTGTGGGGGGGGCGGGGGGGGAAGGGGAGACATGCAGGAGGCAGCTGATCGACTCTCACATCGATGTTTCTCTCTCTCTTTCCTTTTCCCTTCCTCTCTCTCTAAAAATCAATTTAAAAAAAATAATAAAAAAATAAAAATAAAATAAAAAAATAAAATAAAAATCAATTTAAAATATTTTTTAAAAACCTTCAAAATGTTCATAGTTAATATAAATTGCTCTTAAATCTATGAAAAGATGCTCAACATAACATATAATAAAAATGAAAATTAAAACTATGGTGAAATACCATTCTCACCTATTAGTTGGCAAAAATCCCAACATTTGGGGAGTACAAAACAATGCTATTCTTATGGAGGGCAATTTAGTATTATCCATCAAAATTCAAAAATATATGTACTCTTTGACCCAGAAATCCTAAGTCTAAAAATTTTTCCTATACCTATATCTGTATGAATTTAAGTATATCAAGTTTATTCACTTATTCACTACAACACTGTTTTGTAACGATATAAGATCAGAAACCCAAAGGCCCACCACGTACAGAGACATTATGTAGCTGTAAGAATAAAAAAAGAAAAAGAAGATCTACATATATATTAACATGGAAAGATATCCAGGATATAACTTAAGTGTACAAAAAGACAAAAACACAGGTATGCTACTGTCTGCTACCTTCTATAAGAGGAGAAAATAAGAATACATAATTGCTTTTGCTGATATTTGAATAAAGAAACCCTGTAAGATATTAAGTAGAAGGGATTGAGATAGAGTAAAACATCTCCATATATATATATATATATATATATATATATATATATATATATATATATATATGGTTTTGATTTTTGAAATACGTAAATGTCTTAGCTATTAAAAAAATAAATTTTAAATAATATTACTGCCTTGGCTGGTGTATCTCAGTGGTTAGTGTTGGCCTGCACACCAAAGGATCCCCAGTTTGATTCCCGGTCAAGGGCACGTAGGTTCAATCCCTGGCCCCAGTCAAGGAGCATGTGGAAGGCAACCAATCAGTGTGTCTAATGTCGTTGTTTCTCCTCTCTCTCTCTCTCTCTCTCTCTCTCTCCCTCTCTCTCTGTTTCTCTCAATATTTTCTGAAGATTAAAAAAATAGTAATAATTTTTTTTTTAAAAAGTCAATCCTCGCCACTGTTGCTCAGTGGTTAGAGTGTCAGCCCATGCACCAAAGGGTCTCAGTTCAATTCCTGGTCAAGGGCACGTACCTGGGTTGGGGGTTTGCTCTCCGTTCAGGTTGGGGTTCATGCGGGAAACAACCAGTCGATGTGTCTCACATCAATGTTTCTCTCTCTCCTCCCCTCCCTTCCTTCTATTCTCTGAAAAGGAATGGGAAAAATATCCTCATTGAGGATTAACAACAACAACAACTAATAATAATAATAATAATAATGATAATAATAATATTTTAGGATCATTTTAAGGATTAAATGAATTTGTAAATGTACTTAAACTATCTAGCACAGTGCTTTACATACAGTGGTGCTGCTACGTCTTGTTGCTGATCTTTTCATTCATTTATTTATTTTAATCATTTAAGTTCTTTATTATTTTTTAATTAAATTTATTGGGGTGACATTGGTTAATATGATCATACAGGTTTCAGGTGTGGGTTTCTATGTTAGAAGATCCGTATATTGCATGTGTGCCTACCACCCAAAGTTAAATCTTCTCCCATCACTATATATTAGGGCGCCCTTCACCCTCCACCCCTTCCTTCTGGCAACCACCACCCTGCTGTTTGTGTCCATGAGTTTCAGTTATATGAGCGAAATCATATGGTTCTTAGCTTTTTCTGATTGACCTATTTCACTTAGCATAATACTCTCAAGGTCCATCCATGTTGTTGCAAATGACTATTTCATTTGCTGGTCTTTTAAAATGTCATCTAAATAGTATAATAATATAAACAAATAAAAGAAAAAATACCAAACACACTCAATATTTTCATCTCTAGGAATTCACCTTAATAAAAATCTAAAAAATGAACAGAGATCTATATATATAAAAGCCCAGCGACCAGATGGCGGAACGATCAGAATGACTGGTGGCTATGACACGCACTGCAGCAGCCAATCAGCCTGATCCAAGCCCCGATCAGCATCCCCCCCGAAGGCCGGCCCCCAATCGGCCCCCAACACTCCAATTGGGAGCGGTGCTGGCCAGCCAACCGCCCGCAGCCCCTGCCCCCGCTGGCCCAGCCAATGGGCCCCCACACACTGCTGGTGGGAATGCAGACTGGTACAGCCACTGTGGAAAATAGTATGGAGTTTCCTAAAAAAATTAAAAATGGAACTCCCATTTGACCCAGTAATCCCACTTCTAGGAATATATCCCAAGAAATCAGAAATACCAATCAGAAAGGATATATGCACCCTTATGTTCATAGCAGCACATTTTACAATGGCTAAGATTTGCAAACAGCCTAAGTGCCTATCAGCAGATGAGTGGATAAGAAAACTGTGGTGCATCTACACAATGGAATACTACGCTGCTATAAAAAAGAAAAGAACTCTTACCATTCGCAACAGCATGGATGGACCTGGAGAGCATTATGCTAAGCGAAATAAGCCAGTCAGACAAAGATAAATATCACAGGATCTCACTTATTTGTGGAATATAATGAACAATATAAACTGATGAACAAAATAGATACAGAGCCCTAGCTGGTTTGTCTCAGTGGATAGAGCGTCAGCCTGCGGACTAAAGGGTCCTGGGTTCAATTCCAGTCAAGGGCAGATGCCAGGGTTGTGGGCTTGATCCCCCCAGCAGGGGGCATGTAGGAAGCAGCCAATCATCGATTCTTCCTCATCATTGATGTTTCTATCTCTCTCTCCTTCTCAGACACAGAAGCGTCAAACCTCAGAGGAAAGGAGGAGAGGCGGGGGTGGACGGGGGGTAAGAGATCATCCAAAGGACTTGTATGCATGCATATAAGCATAACCAATGGACACAGACAGTTGGAGGGTGAGAACATGTGCTGGGGGGGCGGGAGGGAGAGGTCAATGGGGGAAAAAGGAGACATGTAATACTTTCAACAATAAAGAATTTAAATAAAAGTAATACAACCCCTTTTAAGAGTTATGAATTTGGTAACAACAACAAAAACAAAATAAAACCAAGTTAAGTTGTAAACTACTTTAATAAATATTTTGACTGAACCTTTTAAAACTTCAACTAAATTTTAAACACTGAGCCAGAGCCGGTTTGGGGGGGCGGGAGGGAGAGGTCAATGGGGGAAAAAGGAGACATGTAATACTTTCAACAATAAAGAATTTAAACAAAAGTAATACAACCCCTTTTAAGAGTTATGAATTTGATAACAACAACAAAAACACAAAATAAAACCAAGTTAAGTTGTAAACTACTTTAATAAATATTTTGACTGAACCTTTTAAAACTTCAACTAAATTTTAAACACTGAAAGCAAAATATGCTCTGAGCAGTAAACTTATTATTCAACTTCATGTTAGTTTCATTTTTTTTTTACCTGAGAAAGAGAATAGTACCAAGACAGGGGGCGATCAAACGCTCTTAGTGCTGTGGTCTTCAAGGAAAACTGTGATTCGCTTACTGTTTCTTCTGACATGACTCCTCTTCTAATCTTCATTAAATGAAACATAAAAACCACAAAGATTTCTGGTTACTCTACCAATATAATAAATTAATATATTAATAATTCATGATATTACATTTACCTGAAGAAAAGAGTATTGTGAGCCAAATTTACTTGAGCTGAATGTTTACTTATTATTCACCAAAGCAGCCAAAAAGAAAATGAGTTAAATTTGAACTCTGAGTTCAGGTAGTTAATTTTCCTTCCAGTTAAATAAACATTTCAGCTTTTACATAATACTTTAGATCTATCTCTTCCCATGTACTTCCTTCAAATAACAGTGGGGGTGGGTAATGGTGGGTATTGAAAGGAATCTGCTTGAATCATGATTCCTGCAGCTAGAAAGGAACCTCGGCGGTCACTGAACTTCAGAACTCAGGCATTTATTATCCTACTGTCCCATTTTAAAGATCTTCAAAAAAGTGCCATATACATGCTATGAAATTTAGATATAGTTTTAATGCCTATTTCTATAGAAACCAAAGAAAGAAAAGTCAGATGTCTACAGATGAAGCAGCTGACACTCAGAGAGACCCTTACAGGTAGCAGAACCTGACTGAAACATAATGGTTCAGGGTCTATGTTTTACAGAGACAGAAACTCAATTTTATCATTGTACTCAGCTGGACACATACGAAACAAATTCACATAGTATTGCTGTATAAATTAGTTTACAAATTTATTCATTCACAATAAGGATATATACTATCTAGTGAAAGAATACGTACACTATCAAAACATACCCTTTCTGCCCTGACCGGCTTGGCTCAGTGGATAGAGCGTCGGCCTGCGGACTGAAGGGTCCCAAGTTCGATTCTGGTCAAGGGCATGTATCTTGGTTGTGGGCACATCCCTAGTAGGGAGTGTGCAGGAGGCAGCTGAATCGATGTTTCTCTCTCATCAATGTTTCTAACTCACTATCCCTCTCCCTCTCCCTTTCTCTCTGTAAAAAATCAATAAAATATATATTTTTTAAAAAACATACCATTTCTGAAATAAAATATTATAGGGAGCTGAATTAATAATTAATTAAAAATGCTGCCTGGTAAGCACAAATTTAATGGGTCCTGAGGAATATTATCCAGGCCAAGAAAAAGCCTGAGGGGACTGTCTCTGGTACACCTACCAAACTTAACATTTCTTTTCCTTAGATAGTGCTATATAAACATTACCAAAGAGAAAAAACAAATTACCAACATCCCTCTATAAAACCTTATTTGCTATACTTTCTTTAAGTCCTTTATATTTCTGCAGGTATTTTTTCTGCTCTCTTTTTCTGGATTCCAGCAGACTACTCCCTTCTGTTAATACCCACCCCTTTTCAGACAAGCATTAAAACTACTGATTAAGTAGTTTCATTTCACATCAAACACAGTAATATGTTTAGGATGGGTTATTGCTACTACTAACACCCGATCCCCCATTAGTGCCACAATGTAAATTTAATTCCCCCTCGCGCATATTAGAATTACAATGTTCAGGCTCAGGATAATTAGTTCTATCTTAAGTATAGTACATTTATCCTAACAAAAACAAACAAACAAACAAACAAACAAAAAACTGTGATGTAGACATTATAGAGAAATACAAAGGAAACCATGAAGCACAAACAAGGATTGCTGGCAGGAGTCATTGTTCCTGCACTGGGACCTCCCCCTGCTGCAGAGCTGGCTGGCAGCCATATCTGAGTTTCCATCAGTGATTTCCTGAGATCCTACCCCATCCAATTTGCAGCCCCACTTAAGCTGTTTGTAGTGGCTTTTCCTTATGAAAGACCTGCCTGGCTCAGACTTCAGACTTTGCTAAAATCTCTCAAACAAGCTGCAGCTGGCATCAGCATGCCCCAAACCTATCAGTAAAAGGCCCAAGACCCAGCACTAGCACCAGCCTGCCTTGCTTCACAGCTGGGCCTCACCTGGGCACTTCCAAGCCCAATACAAGTAGCAGCCATCTGCAGACCTTTCTGTAGTTCCTGCCCTTTAGTCCCAGGAAGTGGCTGACTTTGCACCTCCCAGGAGGCTCCAGAGCCAGTGCACCAGGTGGACAGCTTAAGACCATACCAGATTACAACTCTACACATCCACAAAAGACACATTCAAGAGGCAGATTCAGTGAGTACCAAAGCCCCACTGAAACAAGTTCTGCTCCATAGGGGTGACTTCTGGATAGCAGCTCTTCCACTGTAGTCACAGCTGGTCCTCACAGCCAATTGGTCTGGAGGTCAATCCCTCAAACTGACACCAACAGCAATCAAGGCTCAACTACAACAAGACTGTGCACACAGCCCAACCAGGGGTGCACCTAGAGTGCCTAGCTCAGGTAACTAGGGAGTCTGAACCACTGGGCCCTACAGGACATTTACAACACAAGGCCACTCTACCAATTCCAGGAGACATAGAAGCTCTACCTAATACATAGAAAATAACACAGGGAAGCAGCCAAAATGTGGACACAAAGAAAACAGGACACAAAAGAAATGGAAGCAAGCAAACGCAGAGTTCAAAACAATGGTTATAAGGTTACTCAAGGATCTCAATGAGAGCTTCAAGGATCTTGGTGAGACTTTCAAAGACATGGAAAAGGACCAGTCAGAAATTAAGGATACACTAACTGAAATAAAGAATAATTTACAGGGACTCAAGGCGGAATAGAGGATTCCGAGAATCAAATCAATGATTTGGAATATAAGGAAGCAAAACACACCCAATCAGAAGAGCAAAAAGAAAAAAAGAGTTAAAAAATATGAAGGTGGGACTACTTCAAGCATACCAACATTTGCATTATGGAGGTGTCAGATGAGAAGAGAAAGAAAGCAAGATATTGGAAACCTATTTGAAGAAATAAGGAGAGAAAACTTCCTCTATCTGGTGAAAGAAACAGATTTATAAGTATAGGAAGTGCAGAGTCCCAAACAAAAGGAACCCAAGGAGGACCACACCAAGACATATCATAATTAAAATGCCAAGGGCTAACGACAAAGAGAAAATCTTAAAAGCAGCAAGAGAAAAGCAGTTAGTTACCTACAGGGGAGCATCCATATGACTGTCAGCTGATTTCTCAACAGAAATTATGCAGGCCAGAAGGGAATGGCAAGAAATATTCAAAGTGATGAATAGCAAGAACCTACAACCAAGATTACTCTACCCAGCAAAGCTATCATTTAGAATTGAAGGTCAGATAAAGAGCTTCACAGACAAGAAAAAGCTAAAGGAGTTCATCACCACCAAACCAGTATTACATGAAATGTTAAAGGGTATTCTTTATGACAAGGAAGAAGAAGAAAAAGATAAAAAATAAGAAGAATAAAAAGGCAATAAATACGTATCTATCAACAATTGAATCTAAAAATCAAAATAAACGAATAAGAAATTTAATGAACAGACTAAGCTGGTGAGTAAAATAGAATCAGAGGCATGGAAATGGAACAGACTGACCATTCTCAGAGGGAAGGCGGATGGGGGGCAGGAAGAGATAAAAGAAAGATCTTATACGCATATAGGCATTACCAATGGACACCGACAACAGGGTGGTCAAGGCCTGGGACAGGGGGGAACCGGGTGGAGATGGTCAAAGTGGGGGTAAGGGGGAGACATCTGTAATACTCTCAACAATGAAGATTTAAAAGAAGAAAAAAAAATACTGAGAGTAATTCACCCCAAGTGAATTTTTCCATAATAGGGGGTTCCAAATTTTTAAGCAGAGGGAAAAGAAAATAAACACTTCAATTTGCTGCAGGGGTTTTCTCAAATGAATTCTGACAAATCTGTACTCTTGCATTCTAACTACCTCATTACTTTTCATTTAAAATCACTGAGGAAGTGATTCCAAACTTAATCATTAATAACTGAATAACTTTTAAAAACCAGCCATTTCAGTTGCTTTCATAAGTATTAAAATAAACATGAAGACAGTTTCATGATTATGCACATTTGTAAAGAGAGTCTAAATCATCACAAAAAATACTGTACTATGTAATATTACTCACTTGTCTCTAATCTAAACACTGGAGAGTTAAAAATAAGTGTCACAAATAGAGATTGCCTCTTAAACATCCTAAAATTCTATTCTACAACTTGGTTTTATAATCCAAGCAAGAATGAAACTCTGGCATAGCTGGTTTGGCTTAGTGGATAGAGCTGCGGATTGAAGGGTCCCGGGTTCGATTCCGGTCAAGGGCACATGCCCAGGTTGCGGGCTCAATCCCCAGTGGGGGTAGGGGGGACGTGCAGGAGGCAGCCCACCAATGGTTCTCTCTGATCATTGATGTTTCTATCTCTCTCTCCTCCCTTCATCTCTGAAATCAATAAAAAATATATTTTTAAAAAAGAATGAGCACTAGCCGGTTTGGTTCGGTGGATAGAGCCTCCGCCTGTGGACCAAAGGGTCCTGGGTTTGATTCCAGTGAAGGGCACGTACCTTGGTTGCAGGCTCCACCCGACTGTGCCCTGGTCGGGGTGCGTACAGGAGGCAACACATCGACGTTTCTGTCCGTCTTTCTCTCTCTCTTCCACTCTCCCTAAAAATTAACAGAAAAAATATCCTCGGATGAAGATTAACAACAACAAAAAAGAATAAAACTCTGAAATACCCCCCCAAATGTTGACGTGAAGCATAAATCTGTACGACCAAACTTTGAGAAGGTACACAGCAAAAATGCTTAGTCGCCACAATGATAACATTAAAAAAAAAAAATAAAGATCTGTTAGGAATCATCCTCCATAAAATAAATGTTGAACCACTTTATTCAATGAAGGGCTCCGACAGGACAATCCGGATGCTAAAGCATCTTCAAAGAAAGCATCATCTTCCCCATCCAAAATCTCCTCCCTGCTCACATCACGGCCATTCAAGCAGAACCTTGGACCGCACCCCAGGGCGCTGCCCCCCGCCCCCCGCCCCAGTCCAGGGCGCTGCCCCAGCTCCAGGGCGCTGCCCCCCCACCCCCCGGCTCCAGGGCGCTGCCCCCGCCCCCGACTCCAGGGCGCTGCCCCCCCAGCTCCCGGGCGCTGTCCAACCCCCAGCTCCAGGGCGCTGCCCCGC